GTATGGATTCTCGATTCTGTTCCATTGGCCTACGTATCTGTTGTTGTACCAGTACCAGGCTGTTTTGACTACTGTGGCGGTATAATAGGTTCTAAAATCAGGTAGTGTGAGGCCTCCCACTTTGTTCTTCTTGAGTAAAACTTTACTTATCCGGGGCCTCTTCTCTTTCCATATGAAGTTGGTGATTTGTTTCTCCATCTCATTTAAAAATGCTGTTGGTATTTGGATCGAGATTGCAGTGTATCTGTAGATCGGTTTGGGTAGAACTGACATTTTCACAATGTTGAGTCTACCTATCCATGAGCATGGTATGTTTTTCCACTTATGCAGGTCTCCTTTGGTTTCTTGCAGTAGTGCCTTGTAGTTTTCTTTGTACAGGTCTTTTACGTCTCTGGTTAGATTTATTCCTAAGTATTTTATCTTCTTGGGGGCTATCGTAAATAGTGTTGATTTGGTGATTTCCTCTTCGAAGTTCTCTTTGTTGGTGTAAAGGAATCCAACCAATTTTTGTATGTTTATCTTGTATTGTGAGACTTTGCTGAAATCTTCTATTAGTTCCAGTAGTTTTCTTGTGGATTCTTTGGGGTTTTCTGTGTATAAGATCATATCATCTGCAAATAGGGGTACTTTGACTTCTTCCCTACCAATTTGGATGCCCTTTATTTCTTTTTCTAGCCTAATTGCTCTGGCTAGGACCTCCAGCACAATGTTGAATAAGAGTGGTGATAAAGGGCATCCTTGTCTGGTTCCCGTTCTCAAGGGGAATGCTTTCAGACTCTCTTCATTTACGATGATGTTGGTTGTTGGCTTTGTATAAATGCCCTTAATTATGTTGAGGAATTTCCCTTCTATTCTTATTTTGCTGAGAGTTTTTATCATGAATGGGTGTTGGACTTTGTCAAATGCCTTTTCTGCATCAGTTGATAAGATTATGTGGTTCTTGTCTTTTGTTTTGTTTATGTGATGGATTACACTGATTGCTTTTCTCATGTTGAACCATCCCTGCATACCTGGTATAAATCCCACTTGATTATGGTGAATTTTTTTTTGATATGTTGTTGAATTCTATTGAAAAAGCCCAAACTTTTAAGCCCCAAGCTCTACTGCCTCCCATACCCTGCTATCAGCACGTGTACTGAATCCTGATGGGGCAGGAGTAGGGCGACGAGACCAAAGAGATTGAAAAGAGAGGAGCTGGACCATAAGAATATGGCAGCTTTTGTCCAGTGCTGCCCAAGGCCAAAGACTTTGTGTCTGGTAGACGGGCATCTGTGGAGCAGTTATATTTCTTGGACAAGGAAAGCTGGGTCAATTTCTTTAAGACCATCAAGACCTAACCTGTCCTTCCTTCCCTCCCTCATCTCACATTCATAGAAGGCTTGCTGGGTTTCCCACACCGTCCTTGGTCCTGGAGACATAATGGTCCTGGGCAGGACAAGCAGGGAAACCAAAACCCTTCAGCTCCACACAGTAAGGGCCATCTATAAGCGAGAGTCTGTGGGAGCGCAGAGGAGGCAGATGGTGACCAACCTTGCAAGCAGGGCCAGGCCAGGGAGGCTTCGTGAAGGATGTGGTGTTTAAGCTCAAAATTAGAGAAACACGTACCCACCTTTTCTTCTAGCATGTTTAGGGCTTCACTGTTTACATTAATTTACAAAAGTAGAATTTTAAATTAATTTACTTTTTAATGTACTGGGAATTACTTTTGTTATAAGGTGTGAGGTTGAAGCTTAACTTGATTTACTTTTTCAGATGGTAAGATAGTTGCAAAGGCTTTCAAGAGAATTCATCTTTTCTCACTCACTGGAGATGTCATCTCTATCATAGGCTAAACTTGTATGTATGCTTGGTCTATTTCTTCTCTTTCTGTTCTGTTCCATTGATCTAGGGAGGGAGGTGCTATAGTGTAGTCTGGTAAAGTATGCAGACTCTGGAGTCAGATTGTCTGGGTTGTGCCTCAGTTTCCTCATCAGAAAAATGGGGGATAATAATAGTACCTACTTCATAGGGTTGCTGTGAAGATTACTTGAGATGATGCACATAAAGCGAGTCACAGTGCCTGGCACATAGTTATCAATGAATGTCAGTTATTATGATGATCCTTATCTGCCCACTCCTGTACCTGTAACACTAATACAGTAGCGTGAAATTGCTAAGAACATGGCTTTGATTTAGATGAAACAAGCTGTGTTACTTATTATCTGCATGACCTTGAGCAAGTTACTTACCTTTTACACTCTGCATCTTGGTTTCCTCATCTATAGATGGAGACATGAAAGTATCCAGTGAAGCTGTTGTAAAAATGAGACATGACAACATTGCACAGGGCATGAAACATAATGGCTCCTCAACCAATGTTTCTTTTGCTGCTGATTATAATTATCTATCTCTATATCTGGTGGGGCTGCCCCTCCTTGTTATCTCTCCCCTCCCCAGATTTTTTTCTGGGGAGCAGCAGTCAGTCTTCCAGGGCCAGGTCTACTCTGGGTTAATAAAATAGAATTTCTGGATTTGCAAAGATGATGCTCAGTTTCTGAACTATGCTAACATCTGAAAGTCATTGTGACCGGGGACTCCTGACTGAGCAACCAGTAGAATTTGTGGGGAGATGGGAATGGGGACTTAAAACTTATATAGTAGGATTTTTAGGTCCCGAGACACCCACAGTCCCTGTCCCTCCTCCCTCATTAAAAAACAAACAAAAACAAGTTGATTCTGACTCATGGCAACTCCATGTGTGTCAGAGTAGAACTGGGATCCACAGGGTTTTCAGTGGCTGATTTTTGGGAAGAAGATTACCAGGCCTTTATTCCAAGGTACCTCTGGGTGGACTCGAACCTCCAATTGCCAAACTTTTGGTTAGCTGCCAAATATAGCAGGTTTTAAAAATGTTTTTTATTTATTCCTAATTTTTACATATGCATATGCTTAAAAAGTCAACTAGTTCTAGAAGGCTTGTAATGAAAAATGAAAGTCCTCTGCTCCATTTCTCCCACCCCTACTTACATCCTCCTCAGAGATGACCACTCTTGAGTTTCTTGGCTGCTTTTTCCACTATTTACCTCTATATTTCTAAATAACATGCTTCTATTATTATTTCTTGATTTTTCCCATTTTAGATGTGATCAGTTGACTTCCTGCCATGGAAGATGAACATTTAATTTTTTCTACTCTTGACTCTCCTCATCCACTCCCCTCCCCTGCTCTCCCAGTTTTAATATATCCCAATTTTGGGTTAAATCAATGCTCAGTGTTGATTAGGGTTGTGAAAATATTCCTCACAGATGAGCGCTGTAGTGTTTGTACTAAGACTCTGTGAACCTGTAAAAACTGCTTTTGTTTCTTCACATCACGGACACTGGGTGGAGGAACTTCATTCTCTAAAATCCTAGACAGTCATAAACTTGGCTATTTGAAGTCACATTAGTGAGAATGGAACTTCCCAGTCTTGCCTGGAGATCTGAGCCATGCTGGTTACTGTGACACAGGGAGGCAGCCTCAATTTCCAACCTAGGTGCAAAGCTTAACATTCCACATCCATCTGAACTTTGTTCTTTCCAACAGGACACTGAGTCCACTTCTTAGGCCAGGTTTGTTGTTGATTCCTGTACATATACCCACGCTTTCCTTCGAACCTATCAAAACATTGCTTCATTTAAATATTACCTAAACTCAAACCAGTTGCCATCCAGTCGACTCTAACTCATGGAGATCCCACGTGTGTGTCAGGGTGGAACTGTGCTCCCTAGGGTTTGCAGTTGCTGTGATCTTCTGGAAGGAGATCACCAGGACTTTCTTCTGAGGTGGACTTAAACCTCCAACTTTTGGTTAGCAGGGGAGAGAGTTAATCTTTTGCACCATCCAGGGACTCCACCTAAACTCAATCCTTTCCCGCATCCTGCAATGACTGTTTCTTCCTTTGTTTGCTGAATCGCCCCACAGTTCCTCTGGTGTGTGCTTCACCTTGCAGCCACAAGTTAATAAAGTTAATAAACGTAACTCTAACTGCAAGTGTGTTCCTGGTATCTTTATCAGACAGGCTTTTCAATTCTCTTTCCTTTTTTATTTTTTTTTTAATTAACTCCTTGTTTTCCCTGAAGTTGATAATTGTCTGAACTTTTCTTTTACTTGGTTTTCTGTATGAAACCAAACCCTTTGCGTCAAGTCGATTCCAACTCATAGCAACCCTACAGGACAGAGCAGAACTTTCTCCATAGGAGCAGCAGGTGGATTCAAACTGCCGTCCTTTTGGTTAGCAGCCGAGCTCTTAACCACTGAGCCACCAGAGCCTCAGCTTTCTATATACCCATCATGAATTCATCCCCCAAACTCTGAGAGAATAAACCTTCTTTCAATGCCTTTAAATACATCAGGTAATCCCTCTATGCCCCCAGCCCCCCAATTTTTTTTTTCCTCTTAAAGGCAACCTCCCTGGAGCCCTCCATTCTTTGGCTCCAAGCTTCTTTGGTTGCGTTTCTTTTTTAAAAAATATGACAACTTCTGTTCTAACACGTTTCTCAAGGCGCCGTAATTAGTCGTCGGTATATCCACTTTCTTGACTCCTGCTCTCCCCCTCCAACCCAGGAGGGGACAAGTCTCTTGACATCTCTATACCCTCAGTCTGCCATGGAGCTCAAGAAATGTTCGAATGAATAAACGAATGAAAGAATAAGTTAGTAAGTGAATGAATGAATGAATGGTATTCCTGGGCTGGAGATCTGGGTTTAAGGGGAACAGCATTACGTTCCCACTTTGCTGCAAGATATAAGCCATCTGCTAAGAGCGCAGCTTGAAGCAGGGCCCCGAGCGAGGGGAGCCAGCCTGATGCCTCTCCGGACCCAGCACGCGGTTTGCGGAGTAGAGTCTGTTCGTGCAGCCTTGGGGAAGACAGCGGCGGCGGGTACCTCAGGCCTCTTCACCAAGAAAGACTACAATTCCCAGAAGGCCCCGCAGGAGCCGCGCATGCGCCGTAGAGCCGTCCAGACACTGACGTCCAAGCCGCGCGAGGAAAGGGAGACGCAGGGCAGAGAGGGAAGGGTAGGTTGCGAACTGAATGGAGAGGGCGAGAACAGCGAGAGCCACCGAGGAGCGGAGCTGAGGTTAGGTGATCCGGAGAGTGGGTGAGTGAGAAAGACAGGGAGTAGGTCTCAAATGCACAGGGGATGGCGGGTGGAAGGGAATCCGAGCTTTGCTTTCTCTTCCCACAGGGACCATGACGAAGCTAGCGCAGTGGCTGTGGGGGCTGGCGCTGCTGGGCTCCACCTGGGCAGCCCTGACCATGGGCCCCACCCTGGGCCTGGAGCTGCCCTTGACCTGCCGGGAGGTCCTGTGGCCACTGCCCGCCTACTTGCTGGTGACCGTCGGCTGCTTTGCCCTGGGCACCGTGGGCTATCGCGTGGCCACTTTCAATGACTGCGAAGGCGCCGCCCTGGAGCTGCAGACTCAGATCCAGGAGGCCCGGGCCGATTTGGCCCGCAAGGGCCTGCGCTTCTAACCCCCTCCCCTATCCCTGCCGGGCAGCTCTCCCTCCCAGCCCCCGCTACAGAGCAAATTCATTTTCTACGTTGTTCAGTCTGAGTATGGCGTATGGTGATTAGGGATGTACACAGCGGGGGAGAAGTGCTGTGCATCCTGCTGGCATCCCTGTTTTGGACTGAAGGAGGCAAAAACCTCAAGATCTCTCAGCATGAAAACGTCATTCCACTGTCCTGGTCCTTTTAACCCTGTCAGAAAATACGTCATGATGCTTAACCTTCATTCTCCTTAATAAAAGCTAAGCTCCATTCTTTGAGGTCTTTCTGGGTCTTTCCAACGTCTTTTCTTTTTTTCAGATACCTTTTCTGAGCCACCCCTTGTTGTTGTTGTTAGCTGCTGTCCAGTCGATTCCGACTCACGGTGACCCCAGGTGTTGCAGAGTAGAACTGCGCTCCATAGGTTTCTCACGCCTGTGACCTTTCGGAAGCAGATTGCCAGGACTGTCTTCCCAGACACCTCTCAGTGGGTTCAAACCACCAACCTTTTGGCTAGTAGTCGAGCACTTAACCATTTATAGGGAGCCAACCTGAAAAAACCAAAACCAAACCCGCTGCTGTCGAGTGAATTCCGACTCATAGTGACCCTATAGGACAGAGCAGAACTGCCCCATAGAGTTTCCAAGGAGCGCCTGGTGGCTTCAAACTGCCGACCTTTTGGTTAGCAGCCGCAGCTTCTAACCCCTGTGTCACCAGGGTTTCCGAGCCAACCTACCGGCCCTAAAATGGCTGCGGATCAGCAGTGTACCCCTATCGTGCCGATAGAGTAATCACCCTGTTGTCACTATCCGTCACCAAACCAGGCGGGTTGAGAATCACTGAATAGAGAATGAGCCGTGATGGGCAGCGGTGAGGAACAGTTTATTTTAAGGCACATTCTAAAGCTATCACCCCAACTTCCAAAATTAAAAAAATAATCTCTCATAAAAATAAAAGCCATTCATCTCCCAGGTCCCACACCATCTTCTCGGTAGAGCTCTCACTTTGGTTCTTCTATTCACAAAGTCATCCGTCTTTCTTTCCCACAACCCACTATACCCGTGGGGCTGGTCAACAGGAACAGCTGAAATGAGGGCCTCTCTTTGGTATTAGGTTGCCATCAAAGTGCCCAATGGTCCGGTGAGATGACTCAGGTTTGCAGGAGCCGATAGTGCTGCTTATCTTTCTCCTGGGGATACTTCCAGAAAAGCCAGAGGCGGATGACGCTGGTGAAGATTCCTGGAAGGTTGGGCACCTGAAATCACAAGGCTACTATGAGGAGAGGAGCTGGTTTTCCACCACGCTCACCTATCACCCCGTCCCTGTTCTGCTTACCGTGATGTAGGGATCTCTGAGTCGAAACCCATACAGGGTCCAAGAGGCAGAGGTGAGGAGGGTGGCAATGGTGAGCGAGTAGGAGAGACGCTGGGTTGACTGAGTCTTAATGACGTTGGCCTGTGGGCAAGGATGAAAGACAAGCCCTGATCAGAGGCCACTGAAGTCTTCCCACTGCCTCTATAAAGGGAGGCCCCACTCCTAGCCCAGACCCATAGGAAAGCCCTCGCCTAGCCTAAGAATTTCCTCAGAAAAAGGTTACACATCCTCCCCCATCTTCTATCACTCAACCCTTCCCTCCTGCCTCGTACTCACCCAGGATATGGATCTCCTCTTCCTCTAGGGGGTAAACCACAGTCCCTGGCTATGCGAGCCTAGCCCCTCTTCTCTCTCCCACATCCTTGGACACCCCCGCTCACCAAGTCAGTCAGCGGTGAGAAGTACATGCTGATCGTAAAGACACTGCAGAAGAGGCCCAGCTGCTGAAGCCGGCTGGCAGGGTCAGGCACCATGAGCCAAAAGTAGCCACAACCCATAAGAAGGACTCCCAGCAGGGTTGCAGTCTGTAGGAGCAAGGTTTGCTGCAGGGGAGAGAGTACCCTTCTAGATGTGCCAGGAGCCCACACTCTTGACCTCCCGCTGGAATTAATTCATCCTGCCCTCTCCCATCCTCCCATGGGGAGTCAGCCTTTGTCCAAGCCTCCCGTACTGCACTTGCCGCAGCTCCCTTCCCACTGGTGACCTGGAATTATGTTTGATCCACCCATAGCACTGGAGGTCTCCAGGGGACGAAAAGGTACTTTGTGAGCTCAGTACACACAGTAGGAGCTTAATAAATGCTTGTGTAATTGAATGAGGAGGCAGAGTTGATCATGTCATTCTCAGCCACTGGCCCAGCCTCTGAAGGAGCTAGCAGAGATAAAGCGCTTTCCCCAGCTTGTTGGGGAGAAGCTCAGGGCAGCACAGGGACCACCAGGATAGGCACAGCCTTGCTAGATTTGGGGGCAATGTGGGAGTCTCAGAAATCTGGCTTCATGGAGAAAGGAGTACTGGACGGCTGGAGGGGCCTTCCAGGAAAAGGAGGCAGTGCCAGCCTATTTGTCTCCTAGGAAGGACTGTTTGCTCTGCCAGCTAGGCAGGGCATGCAGCAGAGGTGGGTCCGGGGAGGCCTCTACCTTCCGAGGGCAGTAGTGCAGATACACCAAGATATACAACGTCTGAAGCACAGCACCCACGGCGTTGACGACGATGAGGGTCCCGTCTCCCTTCAAGACCCCGTAACTCAGCCAGCTCAGGTTGCTGCAAGGTGGAGGGGAGGGACATCGCATCTGGGGGTTGGGTTGACCCTCTTCTACGTTCTTCGTCTCCACCCTTCCCCCATCTCCCCTCCGCGCCGTTGTCATTGCCCCTCTCACTTGACGTCCGTGGTGAGAAAGGGCAGAAACTGGACGTTGTCCACGCTCCGGGTGACCCGCATGTGCCTGAGGTCCGAGCTGCAACGGGGCCCCGAAGGGAGAGGTGAGGGATAAGAAGGAAGTACCAGGATGCTAGGGGGAAGCCTGTCATCCTCCCCGGACAACCGCAGACCCCCAGAGTCCTCCAGTCCTCCTAGACCCCCGGCCCCGCTCTCAGCTCCCTTGCTTTCTCCCGCAGACCAAGGGACCAAACCACGCCCTTGTTCCCCGGTCCCCTAGACCCGATTTCACTTTGACTCTAGGTCCCGGACGTAGCCTGGGGCTGCGGTCAAGTTCAGCCCCTCTCTCTTCTTTCCCGACTTCCTGTCCTGCCCCAGCCCAGCCCGGCCGCGTTCTCACAGGCCGGTGGAGAACATGCCGAGGGTGAAGAGCACACAGGCTCCGGAGAGGAGCGAGTCGACCACGGCGCCCGGCTCCATCCCCCCCGGACACAGACCGGACACCCGGCTGAGAAGCCCAGCTCCGGACCCGCGTTGCTGGAGCCCCGCCCCCGCCGTGCACCAGACTCCGCCCCTACACGCTCGGGCTGCCCTCCCGGAAACGGAGCCGGAACCCAGTCTGCCCCTACAACGCCAAACCGGAACCCAGGGCCCGCCCCTCGGAGATCAAGTCCAGGTCCGCGCCGACGCGTAGCCTGCGGGTTTGCGATGTTCCTGGTTCTGACCTTGCCCTCCAGCTCCTGATCGGTCCTGGTCCTGGGGGCTGGCGGATTTGTCACCGATACCTGCAGCAGCTTACACTCTGCTTACCCTTAGGTCACCTAGATCCCCCAACCTCAAATCTCGTAACCCCCGGGCCCGTACGCCTGTGTGGGGGACTGCAAAAAAAAAGCTTGCAAGACCCAATCAGAAGGCTACCCCCTCCCATCCAGAGCTCTAAATCAGAACCTCAATTTCCCAACGTTTGGGAATTTTTCCTCCGGAGTTGGCTGAAGCCTCTGTCCTAAATAAACCAGTGATTAGATTACCAGAAATTGCCAAGTCTTGTTCAGCTGCCCTCTTCCTTCAGGCACACCGCCAACTTTAGATGACTTGGCCAATCCACTGAATCCCCTATCACTGACCCCATAGTCCATCCTCCATGCTGCTGGGAACTTTCCCTCCCAGCCTCCCACAGGCCTCTGCCGGTGGGGCTGTCTCTGCTGGTGGGGCTGTCTGGGCGGGCCGCAGGCCTCAGCTGCTGCCCTGACTCACCCAAACACCGTGAGTGCCTGAACCATATGCTAGAGCCTCGCATTGAGGGGGCGGGAATGGGGCAGAGGCTGGGCAAGAAGAACTTGCAAACTAGGGTGCAGCCTAGAACCTGAGAGACTTCCGTGGGAACACTCCTGTCCTAGACACCCCTCAGAAGAGGAAACACCCCACCGTCTTGGCCTGGCGGGGCACTTGTCCTTCAGAGAGATAAGGAAAGGAATTAAAACCCCGTTGCTACAGGTGTAGGACAGAGCCTAGCACATAGAAAGGACTCGATGTTTTTGACTGAGTGGTCATAAGCTAGTATGGAGGAGCAGAAAAAGCATGTCCAAAAAACAAAACAAAAAAAACACATGACTTTATTTTGAGACAAAGAACACTGTATAAAAATTCCAGTTGTAGAAATCAGCACAGACATACAGCAAGTTTATATACAGATACTGTACATGCGGGCCCTGCCCTTCAGCCTACACTCCAGGCACAGACTCGGTACACCAGGGCACTGCCCTTCCAGGTGCACTCTAAGAACAGGCTGGCACAGCCCCCCTGCTGGCACAGCTCTGGGGCATGCTGTCCCAGGAAGGGGAGAGGATGCAGTGCCTGGCTACAGACCTCTCTGTGTGGCTCCACAGGTGGAAGTCTTGGGGGGAGACGCTGGGTCAGCCCAAACATCTTGCTGGCTTCCAAGCAGGAAAGTGTGGTTTGCTTTTCCTTCAGTCAGTTCATCTGGGCATCCTGGCTCTCTCTGGGAAGGGCATCTCTGCCAAGCTCAGCGCCCATCCGTCCCGTCTTCATGACCCCAGGTACCTGCCAACTCAGCTCCCTCTAGGCCCTTTCAGAGGCCAGGTCTGCACAGCTTGTTTCTTTGGCTTAAGAACAGGAATATCAGGGGAATGGCTTTCCCCATGTCTTTTTCCGTCCCTCTGAGGTGGAGGCAGGGATGGCACTGCCCAGTTTGCTGAACTCCTTTGGGTTGAAACGCTTAATACTGACCCGTTTTGAGGCTGCTGGGTAGCAGCTTGTGCACAGGGTGGGAGTGGTTCCCAAGGATGGGGCTTCAGGAGCTGTCCCAAGATAGGTGAGGGGTGCCGGCCCCTGCCCGCTCAGCCCACTGCCAATCCTTAAGCCCGGTGTGGCAGACACATTCACGGCGTTTGCAGCAGCAGAAATGGCAGGAGCAGCACAGCCCAGGCAAGTGGAGAGAGGTGGGGGGCAGCACTGTCACCGATGCTGTGTAGCACCTGCACCTCCGGGTCGTCTGCAAGGCGAGAGGGCAGAGGCCCCCATGGTGAGTGGCCCCACTGCTGGCACTGGCCCTCAGCCCATTGGTATTTCTCCAGCCCCTGCCTGGCATGGGACCCACCTCCTATACCCAAGCTCCTCCAACAGACCCAGGCCCAGGCCCAATCTGCTCCAGCTACCCACCTGCTGGAAGTCTCTTCTCCTGTGGATTGGCATGGGCCTGAGGACTGTGAGCTGGAAGACAAGACAGGCAATAGATCGGACATTGTACCAGGGAGGCAGAGGGGTGAGGGTGCTGGGTGGATTGGGCAGTGGGACTTCCCGACAATCCTAGAATTATGAGACCAGGCCCAGCATGGAGATGGTGGAAGGAAGCTATGGGCAACGGTAGGGGAGGCCCACAGGGCCCTGACACTCACTGGTTTTGCCATTGACCGTCACCTTTAACCTCAAGCACTGCTCTTCTTGGTGGTGGATAGGCTTAGCTGCAAGGCAAACCCATAGGGTGTTAAGGAGGGAAACTTTGAAGAAAATGTAAGCCCAAATACCTCTGGCGCCTGCGGATTCCTCTCTTTCGTCTAACCTCTGATTCTTATCCTCCTTAGTTTTTGCCCATTTTCTGCCCAGTGTTCAGTCCAACCTCTCATTCTTTGGAAAACCCTCAGCTTTGGTGTTAGTGGAAAAAGAACAAAGACACTGTCCCTTCCCCACATTCCATCCTCCACCCCTCCAAGCCTGAAATTGGGTGAAAACTTCACAACACGCTTCCCTGACCTGGGCCTTTATACTCGCCCTGCTTCACTCCCTCAGAGTGAGTCCTGGATCCATTCTCCACAAAGCTGATCTTCTGACTCTTCAAATCCACCAGTGTCCTTCCACTGCCCTCAGGATAAGGTCCAGACTCCTTAAAACTTCTTACGCCCTTCATGATCTGTCCTGCTCACCTCCCCAAGCTCCTCTCTCCCCACTTCCTGTGACCCTTCCACTCCACTCAGGCTAGATCATTTGGAGTTCCCTGAAGATGTGTGCTAGGCCACTTGGAGGTTGGAGTCCACCCAGAGGTGCCTCAGAAGAAAGGCCTGGTGATCTATTTCTGAAAAATCAGCCATTGAAAACCATGTGGAGAACAGTTCTATACTGACACACCCGGGGTCCCCATGAGTTGGAGTCGACTCAACGGCAACTGGATGGAAGATGTCATGCTCACTTTGCATTTGTACCCTCATGCCTGACCAACTCTTTTGCTTGTCCTCAGCTCTGGGGTCATCTTCCCCAGCACACCTTCTCTGAGCACTCCAGCCTGGCAGCTGCCCCGGCCATTTCCCCAGGGGCTGCATGCTCATGTCTACCACATCACACTGTTCTAATGGCTCATTAACCTACATGTGTCCCTTTCCAGCTGAGGTCAGGGACTCTGTAATGTCTTAGTTATCTCTGTGCCCATAGGGCCAAGCAGAATGCCCGGTACACAGTAGAAGCTCACTACGCATTTGTGATATAAATGCATGAATAATAGATTCTCAGGATTGGAAGAGACCCTCTGCTACTTGACTCCCCACCACGTGTGTCCCCAAGCATACGCATCATGCCCGCAGCATCCCCCAGTATGTCCACTGGGGTGCACATCTCCCACGCACTCACAGATGTAGTAGTAGCTGCGGCCCTCTTTGAACTCCTTGCCCAGGGTGAAGGGTGTGAAACGCTGGAACTTCTCAGACAGCTTCTCTGGGCCATGCCTGGCACTGGGCTGGGTGCACTGCCAGCGGACCTGGTCCTTGGATTGGGGCTGGCACAGCTGGTACTCCTCGTACTCCACCAAGTATAGCGTGTACCGCTCCATGGCAGCATCTGCCACAGAGTCGTCCTCGTAATGTGGACAGATGATGTCCAGGTAGTCGTTCAGCTGTACATACACTGTGTAGTCATCACTCCAGAACCTGGGCACGCACAGAGGGGTAGGAAGCAGGCGGTCATTCAGGAGTCAGCTCAGAGCCTCGAGCCTCCGTATGTTCACGTGACCCCCGACATTTCACACTGGACCCCCTACAGAGATTTTCCCAAAGTCTCACCTCTTGATATTTACTGCTCTTGATCTCTTAAATGTCTTCCCACAATCTCCAAACATTCCCCTCACCATCATTGTTTCCCACTAACCCTCCAAACAACATCCAGTCAGTATCTTTCAGGTATCAAAGCACTTCCCATAACCCCCCTGATATTTACCCAAGGATAGGCTTCTAAGTATTTCTTTGGCTCACTCATCAACCCCCTTCTACCCATAAATATTTCCCCCAATCTATCCTACCAGCTGCGCCTTTAAATGTTATGCAAACTCAGGTAAGACCCTACTGACCCAGTCGGTAACCGGGGTCCAAGTAATCCTTCCTCATTACCAGACTAGCACTGAGCCCCCAACACCCCTGTGTCTTCACTTCCCTCACCCCCCTCATTTTTAACCCTGGCCCACCAAGTATATTCCACATTTCCCAGCCTCAGCCTCCCCAGAGCCCCAGGTCCCTAGTGCTTTAAGTTAAATCATTTTCAGTCTCCTCAAAGCTCCCTTTCTAGTCCCTCAAATTTATGCCCAGGTCTCCTCGTCTACTTCTCTCAAAGCACCCCAAAACACCCCTGTCCCTTTATCTCCAAAGCCCCACTTTCGCGTCCCTTGAGAGGAGCTCCAGAAATGCCTCTCTCGAGCCGGCTCCCCTCCCCCAGCCCGTTCCCCGAGGCCCCACAGCCTCTCTCGGCCAGACCGCCCACCAGGCCCTCCCCCCAGCTCCAGACACCTGGCTCCAGTCTGGGTGGGGTCCTAGTAAGCGGGAAAAGTGTCTCCACTCCCCCTCTCCAAGCTGGTCAGCTTCTCTAATTCCCTCAAGCACTGCCAGCTAGAGACTCAGCACAGCGGGCTGCCAACTTGCTTCAAACCAAAGCTTTGGGCCTGGGTGGCGGGGGGAGGGGGAAGGCAGGGGTTAGGCCCAGAGGCCATCTGAGGCGGGCACCCGCCGCCCAGTCAGCATGACCCCCCAAGAGGCCTGGCCCGCAGAGCTGGAGCCAGGCTTACCAGGCCCCTCCCCCACCTTGGGAAAAGAGAGAGAGCGAGAGAGGGAGAGAGGAGTGGAGAGAGGCTTTTAAAATTCCTCTCTGGAGAGATAAACATAGAAGCCATTTCAGAACAGGTATTTCAGCTCTGGGCCTGGCATCTCTCCCCCATTCCTGTGACGAGCACCTGACTCATTCCCCATCCACCTCTGCCTCCCGCCCAGCACTCAGGAGAACCTGTGAAAATTTATTTGGCAAACGTGGACAGCCCCCAGGACCCCGGGATGGCACAGTGCCCATTTGACCCTGGTACTGTCCTCCACGCAAAGGGAGCTAGCAGGTCTGCATGGGCAGGGGACCTGCCCCTCCAATGCAAAGGAGGCCAGTCCCAGCTCACAGCGCCCCACCCTCTCACCACGCTGCCCCCCGCCTGAGGCCTGAAGATCCCAGGGCCCATGCTCATTGCCCTGAATCACCCATGTTAGCCTCACACCCACCCAGCTCATTGCCACCGCGTCTTTGCCCCCAAGCTGGGTCTGGCCTGGCTGGACTCCACTCTGGGCTGGCTTCAAATCTTTAGCTGTGGGTATGGAAGGGTGTGTGTGCGTAAGCGCGTGTGGCCAGATGGACAGAGCAGGAACTGTGCTTGCTGGGGCACCCATTCCCCCCCTCCTGGGGGTACAATCTGCTCCACTTAGCCCCACTGTGACTCCTGCTGTCCATCTGGGAAAGGGGGGCAGCGGCGTCAGGGAAGGCGGGGAGCGGGGGCAAGGAAGAGGCTCCTTCCTGAAAGAAAGGAAACCTGGGAGCTTGGGAACGGAAAAAGCCAGGGTCCCCCCTCCCTACTCATGGCTTCCTGTCCCCTCCTCCTTCTTCAGCCAACACCTGCATGGGCATAAACAGGGACTTTACTCTCTCCCAGTAGGACAAGACTGGGTCAAGGAAGCAAAGAGCAGGCAACCAGGAGTGGGGTGGGGGAGGGCTTCCTGGGAACCTGCTGGGCCAGAGGGCATTGCCCTCTGGGGTTGGCAGCTGGCTGTTGCCTCCCCCACCCCACAGCATGCCACAGATGACAGACCTCCCCACCAGGCAATGCCACAGGGCTACAGGAAGCTGGTACAATATATTTCTCTGGGGAAGAGAGGGAGCCGGGGTGCTAGGGCTGTGGGTGCCCAAGCTGAGTGAGGTGTTTTCGGGGACCCAAAGCTGCCCAGCCCCTCCTCTCCCAGCTCGTCCCTCTCCCGTCTCCAGTTTTCCCGGCAAATATTGTTCCCATAACTTCAGAAAACTCAAGGGCAAGAACAAAAGGTCCGACCAAGCTTCTTCCTCCTAGTACCATTGGCCTCCCAGCCCTAAACCTGCCCAGGAGAAATTAACCCCTTCCTGCCCACAGCCCTCGGTAACCCTTTTAACCCCTTCCGTTCTTTCTGAATCTCCTTTCCGAAGATCTCCCTCCCCCCATCTCTCCAGCGTTACTGACTGGAACCTCAGTAACAGGTGACTCCCCCAGCCTACCCACGCACAGCCTGTGTCTCCCTCAGGCCACTTGAAAAGAACCCTTGTGGGGAGCTTCTCAGAGTCATTTGGATACAGAAGGGACGCTTACTGCCCGCAGCCCAGGCCCCTCCTGACTGCTCCTTCCAGGATTACTTTTGAGCACTCAGCTCATCCCTGATGTCACATCAGGTACCTGTCTGTCAGGACAGGCAGACGCCTAAGTGACAAACAAGAAGGCGCGCAGAGGCTTTTATGGTGGGGGGCCTAGAGCAAGCGCCCAGGCGGCCAAGGAGGGTGGTCCATGCTTGCAGAGGATGACTGCCTAACATGGCCCCCTCAGTGAAGAGTAATCGGGGTGCCAGGGGGAAGGAAAGGAAGGGCAGAGATAGTACTCACGGGCAGGTTCCTGCCCTGAGATGCGTCCTCCTAGTTACGGGGGAGAGGTGACGAGAGCGAAATCCCCAGAATCCCTCCCGCCTCTGGTCACCTCCCCTAGGCTCGGGACAAGGACTGGCCCGGGATAGTTGCTCCGGAGCGAGGGAAGCAGTGCCAACCAGGTGCCCGGGTGCCGGCAGGACTAGGGGCTTACTTGGGGTTTGAACTGTTCCAGAAGACGGTGTGGCGATCAGCAGCGGCCAGACTGCAGCAGAGACCCAAGAGAGGGGCCCAGAAAAACTCCATTGCGCGAGGCCTGACCAGGCCGAGCCGGGGCGAGGGGGCTCCTCGGGGTCCGGGCTCCGACTGGCTTTCTCTGTCGCGGCAGTCAGCAACGCGCTCACAGCTCTGGCTCCTAAGCCTCCCGACTCCGCCTTTAGGGCCGGCGCCGCCCGACACCCCGCCCCGCTCCC